TCTTTACACTATATTCATTATAATTTATACACCTTCCCTATACTCCCCAAATCTAACTCCATTAATCCCTTACATACTTTTATCTATATATTTTAAAGTTATTTTTAAACCCCTTTTTATTCCTCTTTTAGTTTTAGATTAATATTCCATTCCTCATTTAACCCCAAATTAATGGTCGGGTTCAATTTTATAAAACTTCTTCCGTTAAATGCAAATGCATTCCATCCTCCACTGACATCAGTCTTGTGTATTTGGTCGGAGTGAAACATTGAAATGGACAAATGCTGTGTTAGTTTTTAGACAGGTTGGATTTTCTAGCTTTCACTGTTAAATTCTACTTCCCACTATCTGTACAGACACGGACTCAGTTCACACCGGGGTTGATAAGACAGACGACCGATATCTTCGTCTATCAAAACAGGCTATTTCCCGTATGAGGTGATTTGGGATTTTAGTGTTTATTAATTATATATATATATATATATATATATATATATATATATATATATATATATATATATATATATATATGTATAATTTTAGGATATTACATCGAAAACATGTCAAAATCGCTTAATGTAATATCCTAAAATAAATAATATTTTTCTATTTTGTATTGAGCCCTCTTTTAGATTAAATGTTATGAACATTGGAATTGTACTCTATTCGTTCTCATCTAACTTATATATATATATATATATATATATATATATATATATATATATATATATATATATATTCAGAAGCAAAAGGTGGAAAAACAATCAAATTTATACGATACTTACAGTCACATGACACGAAGAGTCAACGTGTTGTTTTGCCAAATATTGGAAATCGTACTAATATGAAACCCACTCCCAATATTTGTGGCCCTTCTATTTGTCGATGTAGTCAACAGTGTTTATCTGATGTTTGTTATAAAAACAAATCACCACACGCCGGTGATTGATTTCAAATTGGGTATTAATTCCCAACAACACCAACCATTTTAGCTGACGGGCCCATCAATACTTACCAGTCCGGTGTAAGGCGAGATGGTAATTAAGTGAGAAAGGAAAGAGACGCGTAGTAGCTGATTGTTCCCCAGTTCTTAATTCGCACTTACTTCATTCCTCATCCCATTTATTAAACGGGTTTCTAAACAAATTCAGTAGAACCTCGTTATCTGCGGAATCAGCAACGACACGGTTCGTACCATCCGCGGAATCAACAATCATTGGTAAGCATAAGCCAGGAATATTTCTATTGCGGATAACTATGTCATAAAATATTAAAATTTACCAGCAATCACATGAGCCATCATCAGTGTGTTTATATGGTTTGATTTGGTTTGGTTTGCTTTACGGCTTACCAACCTCAATGGATTATTTAATTCCGATAAAATTTTTATTGTTGGTAATATATTTTTTTTTTCAAAAATCTATTTCTGGTAAGATTTTTTCCATCAAAAAATTTATTTCTGGTAAGATATTTTTCTTCAAAAATCTATTTCTGCTAATAATTTTTTTCAGATGTATAGCTGGCAATATTTTTTTTTCTTTTTTTGTCAAAAAATGTTTAAATGGTAGTAATTTTTTATTCAAAAATATATTACTGGTAATATTTGTTTTTCAAAAATGTATCCCTGGTAATTTTTTTTTTCAAAAAATGAATACTTGTTAATAATTTTTTTCACAAAGTATTTCTGGTATTAAAACCTATATTTACACTTTCATAGTGTTTTTGCCTCAGTTTTGGGGTTAACTTTTTACCCATAGCTGGGACCCTAACAGATGCAATCACCCCGGGTCAGGGTAGATCTGGGAACAGTAGCAATTAAGACGTGGTTCCACGCTCCTCAAAATCTCTTGATTGGAGACCTTGCATTTGGACGTACTTCAACGTCTTACCCATGGCGTGGATGTAGTTTATCGTCATATCCAGAACGGGTGTTTATATGTACATTAAAACAGCGATATTCACCATCAAAGACGGCATCCTGTTATGTTTACATGAAAGGTTAGTAAGTGGTGGTAACAGTCGCGCAATAGCAGACACAGGTTATAAATTCGTAATACATTTTTATGACGTCGTACATGACCACGTGAGAAAAAGAAATGTTATCAACAGAACCGTGTCAATCTATAGTACTTCGAGTTGCTCACTGGTATGGCTTGCCATTGCGTTTGTGCAGCGTTACAATTTTCTTAGGCTCTCTTGCAGTAATGTCCATCGATGACAATGGTCATAGGACAACTAATCGATAGTCGAGAGAATAGTGTCTAGGTGTGATGAAAATCTGATGCTATCACTGATGACACAATATTTCATCTTACACCCAAAAATAGATTTATATTACTGCACACCCCTGCAAATGATATAATCTAAGGATAAAACAGATATTGGTTACACCCTATCACTCCTGTGGGACTAAAAGTGACTGTATGGTGAAAGAAAGGAAACTCGAGCAGTTGTTTCAATTAAATTGCGCAAGGGTGTATGTCATAAAGTAATAAAAAATAGCAGCAATCTATTTGTCCTTATAAAATATATTTTCTTCTCCCTGACGTGGGCGATCATAGGTCGCCATCATTTCCTGTTCTTGGTAGCTTTTAGTAAATTTTGTATTATTGTATTCACTCTTATCCTATTTTACATACTTACCAATTAACTATTTCTCCACGTTTATAATATTGTTGCCTCATGTAGTCTTGTGATTGTCCTATATATTTTGATATCCCCACCAAGGATCTGCGATGTCAAGTGGCATCTTGGCTTCACTCCCTTTCCCAACGCTGTTATGTACTTTTCTTGTGCCTTTTTCTATAAATATTTTCACAGTAATTGGTCTGATTTAATTTACTCGATGGTAACTATACCGTATGAATTTAAAAGCAGTGCTAGGTTGGTGGCAAGGTCGCGCCATTTCACTGCTTGATGTGAGCATTAGATGTATGCTAAGTTTTTTTTTTTTCTCGCTTATGGAACTCTCTTCCGGCTTCTTGCTTTCTAGTCAAGTTTGATCTTCAAATATTTAGATGCAATGACAGTCATTATATTCTGTCTTCATAACTTCTGTCTTTTCATTGCCCTCGCTTCCTTAATAATGTTTTCTTATATCCTTTCTCAATCAATCACCCCCGCTGCGTGTTAGTAATGTTAGTAATGTTAATTCATTGCTAGGGTGAAATGATTAAAAAAAAATCCTTGTTCTGACAACGTTTTACACAGGATTGTAAGTACGTTATACGCTGTTTTCATCTATCCTATAAACTCCAATATGTCCTGTGAGTGTCAAATTTTCTAAGTCCGCTTTCCTCAATAGGTGTTCTAGAAATTTCAAATTTCTCTTTCCGATATTAATTATAAGTGTTTTTGTTTCCATTTTCTCTAAACCATTTTCGTTGCTAACATGTTCGCTCCATGGTATCGTTAGCATTCTTCTAAAGAACCATATTTCTGTTGTTTTAAATCTCTTCCTCAGCAATGAGTAGACTTTCCAATATTCACTGCCATATAGGGAGACCGCTATTTCGTAACATCTCACTACTGTTATTTTTTGTTTGTTTCTAACGAATGTTTTCTATATTTTAATACTTCGCTTCGATTTTGGAAGGCATCTTTTGCTTATCCAAAACGCTTCTCCAATTCGGTGTCGCATGTTCCATCCTCTGTTAAACGCTTACTATATAGTTACAATTTGTAACTGCTTGAGTTTGGTATATCCAATTTATAATTCGTGTATTGAACGGATTCCTTTACGAACACCAATACTCCTTGTCTTCTTACTATTGATAGTTAGTCCTTTTTTCTCGATTTCCTTGAATACAAATTCTATTTGTATTTTCACATTCTGTTTTTGTATGTTTTTCCTAACCCAACTAGAAATTTAATCTGAAAAATAATTGCCTCGATTAGCTTTTCGGTAAACATGGCCAAAAATGTCCGCAATAAGACGTTGTTTCAAAAGGACAGTTTTGCTTTTTTAATTACTGTTATGAATAATCAAGAGTGGTCTCCACTTGTTGTGTTACTCTTTTCTTTGAGAGAGCTATTTCTCTTTTTCTGGGACTATAAAGGAACACTATACGCGAACCTTATATTCTCAGTGGAATATAAGCTTTCTTAATGCCTACACTTGCCTACTTTTCTCATTACAACTACCTTCACTCTTCGGCAATGAATATATTTTTAAAAAAGCGATTATAAGAATTAGAATAAAACGAAAACATGATGCAAAGGAATTTATAAATTATATTTTTGTTCTTGAAAATTTATAAGAAAAATATTAAACGCAATTTATTTATTACATTGTTTATTTACTAGAATAATTCTATTCTAAAATCTAATACAATTAGAATTAAGCAATATTTATCATTTATCAATTTTTAAAGAAATAAATGTGAAAAGAATTTTTATTCGTAGAATTATAAACACTTACTAAATTATTAAAATATGTGAACCAACTATAAGGATATCATTATTATTTACCATTTTATAAAGTTTGAATCAATTGGAAATTAGCTGCTGTTTTGCTAAATTTCCAATAAACAATATAATAAATGAATGTTTTTTTTTTTATTTCACCTTTCAATTCTCAAGAATAAAGAAAATGATTAAATTCACTTTTATATGTCTAAGTTTTATTACAATTCTAATCACCACTTTTTGAAAAAATTAAAGATTACTTAGGGAGCGTAGGTAGTTGAAATAATAGCAGTGTCTAGGGAAAGGTTTCTATATTATTTCTAACTTAGCGTCCTGCATCAATTTATGAGAGGTAGCAATTAAACAATTCATGGTGTATGCGTATATGTGTGTGTGTCAAGATACAAGTTTTTCTCATTTACTCTATCTCTCACTTTCTCTACATAACTCTTTCGCACATTCTCTCTTTCTATAATCCATGTAGATTGAAAGAGAGAGAGAGAAATGGCTATATTATTCACTAACCACATTCTATCGTTACTTTGTGTTTACTTCTTCTCTCTCGTGCACCAGTGGAAATCCTATGTGTAACATTAAAGATAGATAGATAGATAGATAGATAGATAGATAGATAGCACCAGTGGAAATCCTATACGTAACAAAAGAGAAGAAAGAGGAGAGAGAGAGAGAGAGAGAGAGAGAGAGAGAGAGAGAGAGAGAGAGAGAGGTGGGGAAAGAGAGAGAGTTATCTGTAATAATAAATCAGCCCATTCCTTTTGTATTCTTCTCTCTAGTGGACAAGTGGAAATCCTATATGTAACAAAAGAAAAGATAGATAGATAGATAGATAGATAGATAGATAGATAGATAGATAGATAGGTAGATATAGAGAGAGAGAAAAAGAGGGAGGGAGGGAAAGAGAGAATTAACCGTAATAATAAATCAGCCCATTCATTTTGTGTCGTATTCTTCTTCTCTCTAGTGCACTAGTGGAAATCTTGTGTGTAACAAAAGAAATGATAGATAGATAGATAGATAGAGAGAGAGAGAGAGAGAGAGAGAGAGAGAGAGAAAGAGAGAGAGTCAAGCTTAATAATAAATCAGCCCATTCCTTTTGTTCCGTTTCCTCACTATTTCGACTGGAGTTTCTTTCACCACCTCCCCTTTCCTAGAAAAATCCTTGTATCTCTGCAGCACACAGCGTCGTCTGTAGTCAACTTCTTCCTGGTTAAACATAATATAAGCGAGCGAAATCGATAATAATCTAGAGGTACCAATCAGTACGATGCGCAAGATGGCCAGAAAAATATGCTAACCATACAGCTTGGGTCACATATTTGTCAAATTGGCCGGGTGGAGTTCGTGATGTCCTACGGCAAGATGACACCTTTAGGCAAACATCTTGGTCTCTTTACACGAACAGCTTTCTTCTGTTCATGAAATGTGATTAACTCTGATTATTCAGCAAGCAGTAGTATACCTCCTTTCATCCGGGAACAGATACGCCATCAATTTCTTCCTTGACTATTAAACTTTGGACTGGGGAGTGGGTCGTTACTGATGATGAATGCGTTCAGGTTACGGAATCAACCTCTGTCTCCGAGGTAACGTGATGCAACCGCATCTAATTTGTGTTGCAGAGGTGCAAGCTTGCCACCAGGCACTTGACACCATTACCTTTGATGAAGCCATTTATGCAGATATTAGGGAAACACTAGAAAATTAACTTTGTCTAAAATGAACAGAATCTACTGTTTGGAGACTAAACGTGAATCAAACAAACAATCTGAACACTTGATTTACTTCAACAGTATTTACTTCTAATCAATTCACCCCAAGAAAGGCAATAATCTCACTAAAATATAAGAGGCAAGTGGAAGTGAAAAAGAATGAACAAACACTTTAGAAGAAGCCGAAAACCCAATCCTAAACAGGAAAAAAGGGATAAACCTGTACTCCTGTTCAAAAGAACGGGGAGGAGTGTGAACGAACTTATCCACCACTATTCAGGAAATAAATAAATAAATTGTAAATAAACTTTGGGCGCAGATGTTGGAAGTATAGATTTGTTCTAGACTTTAAAAGGAATCGGAATCCCATTCCTAAACAGGAAACAAGGAATAAATTTCGACTCCTTTTCAAAAAACGAGGGAGGTATCATGAACAAGCACTTTAGAAGAAGCCGAAAACTCAATCCTAAACAGGAAACAATGGATAAACCTCTACTCCTGTCCAAAAGAACGGGGAGGAGTGTGAACCGGGTGTTAGACGAACTTATCCACTACTATTGAGGAAATAAATAAATAAATTGTAAATAAACTTTGGGCAGAGATGTTGGAAGTATAGAGTTGTTGTAGACTTTAGAAGGAATCGGAAACGCAATCCTAAACAAGAAACAAGGAATAAACCTCTACTCCTGTTCAAAAGGACGGGGAAGAGTGTGAACCGGGTGTTAGACGAACTTAGCCACTACTATTGAGGAAATAAATAAATAAATTGTAAATAAATTTTGGGCGGAGATGTTGGAAGTATAGAGTTGTTATAGACTTTAGAAGGAATCGGAAACCCAATCCTAAAAAGGAAACAAGGAATAAATTTCGACTCCTTTTCAAAAGACGAGCGAGGTATCTGCATACATTTGCGTACTGATGGGACAATTAAATGAGTCTTGGTAGCGACTAAGAGGAAACGTAACAATAATTCTGGTAACGATTCTGGCTCGATTATCAGGGAATACAGCGACAGAACAGAATTAATTTCAAGGGAGGCACAAATATAGATGTTGAAAAAATTAAGAACTATTTGGAAAGACAAGAATATCTTCCTTAAATCAATTGCTTTCATCGGCCGGCGTTATTCATCTATCTGTATGTCTAAGAATCTTGGAATATGTCAGTAGAATTACAGCGAAGAAATCAAGCATTAGATAGGAGAAACTACAGAACAATCCTTGACATTTCCAACGTAGAGAGTATCACAAATAATCAAGTACGATACAAGATTAGAAAGCGCTTTGGCAGATCTCATATCCACTGTCAGAAAATAGGAAGTCGAAACTGTATGGCGACGTCATAAGAGCCAGCTGTCATTCCACTGACATACTTTAAGATTCCAACTTAGGCAAAAAGAAGTCAAAAAGAAAAAAAATAGGGTGGCAATATCACTGGGTGAACTCGAGGAAGATCATTCAAACCCTCAGATACTCAGATATTGAAAAGCAACCGAAACATACTGAGGGACCCGATCGGATGGTCACCTGCGCAGCGACCCTTTGACCACACCCGGTCATAGGACTAACCATTATGATAATGATGATACTTATTAATGGATTTCATGGTAGAAATTATTTTGCTAATTTCTTTATATTTGAAAAAAAAAAACTCATGATGAACAATGAAAACGTTTCTGTCTATATTTCTGAGATGAGGTATTATGTACATTATTCGGACTATTGTCCTCATCTTTGTCGCCACATTTATTAAAACGTTTCGGCCGTTATACGCTCCGACCTTCTTCAGGTGTTTGGAATGTCATAATAGCCAACCGTCATTCATATAAGATCCTTTAAGATTCCAACTTAGGCAAAAAGAAGTCAAAGGAAAAAAACGGGGTGGCAATATCACTGGGTGGACTGCAGTAAGATCATTCAGACCCTCGGATACTCAGACATTGAAAAGCCATCAAAACATACAGAGGGACCCAATCCGATGGTCATCTGCGCAGCGACCCTTCGACCACACCCGGTCATAGGACTAACTATTATGATAATGATGATGCTTAATAATGGATTTCATGGTAGAAATTAATGTGCTAATTTCCTTTATATTTGCAAAAAAAAAAAAAAAAAACTCATGATGAACAATGAAAAATATATATTTCTGAGATGAGGTATTATGTACATTATTTACATTATTCGGACTATTGTCCCCATCTTTGTCGCCATATTTATTACAACGTTTCAACCATATGGAATGTCGAACTTAACCCTTTATTTCGCTCACTGGGGTAGACTGTTCTAGTTCCACGTGCCATGTTTAATGGATGCCAGTTATCTCCTGTTCATTCGCCTCTCCTAATTAGCTCCTGTTAATTTCCCTCTGAAAGTTCTCCAGCCAGTTCCAATATCTTGGCTAGATTAACAGCGAAGAAGTTTCAAGAATAAATATAATTTTACGAGAAACAATGGCAGCTGTCACAAAACTAAGAACCCGGAAAACCAAGACATTTGCAAGATCCGACTGCCGAGAGCATGGTCCTTCTCAATCTTTCTATACTCCTGTAAATCATGCACATTAGTCGTAGAATTACAGCGAAGAAAGCAACGTTCGATAGGGTTTGGCATGCCGGCCTTCTTCGCAAGGTTCAGGGTTATGGAAGTACAGGTAGATTGTTTGACTTAATACAATTATTCCTGTCAAACCGTGCATTAATGGTCCTTCAAAACGGATTCTCTCCCAGCTGTTATCCCGCGGATGCAGGTGTTCCCCAAGGCTCTATTCTAGGCCCTATTCTGTCCCTTATCTTCATTAACGATCTTCCTGGTGTCATAGGTTCCCAAGTAGGCGTCTACGCGGACGACACTACTATTTACTCCTGCCTCAAAACAAATATAATGTCGCCGACAAAACTAACCTGGTTGTTTTTTCTAAAAAGGACTTCCAATCGGTCGTGGTCTGGGGCAGTAATTGACTGGTTAACTTTAATGCCTCAAAAACAAAACTGCACTCTATTACTCACCAGAGAGAGAACTATCCCTGCCTTCCATTAGAATGTCTGACGCTCAACTCCACGAGAGCACCTCTTTGGGACTGCTCGGTCTCACATTGTCCGCTGACCTGAGATGGAACGAATGCATTGAGTCAATAGCTTCGTCCACTGCTAGGAAAGTTGCCTCCCTGTGCCGCGCCAGGAAAATTTTCTCGCCGGAGTCAATCCTTCAAATCTACAAATCAACCATTCGCCTTTGCATGGAGTATTGCTGCCATATATAGACCGACAGTCATGCAAGTATAGAGATCTCACTCTGTCCTGTTATTTTGCAAATAGCAGATGAAAGATGTTTATCTGTCCCGGTCCCAACAACAGACTGTGGGAAAATATGAACTCGGGTCGCTATTTCCACTTTCAACTCAAATAGCAGTTACACTGTCTACATATCCAACATTGAACTGTCATTAACGAACTGGGATCAGCGACACTATCCATGACAAATAGATTCAAGTAGGCGCCCAGCATTCGAGAATTTGAACCGTATTTAAGTAATCGGTCGCTAATATAGGATCAAATTAATGAAGATCATATTGCGGCAAGTTTCTTTGACTGTTTTCAAAATCAATATTGGATATACGGAAAAAATCAAAATTAAACAAAGATTCGCACAAACAGAATGTTCAGTTTTTCTTAATTTTCAAATCTTTCCGATGTCTGGCGAGAAAGCATCCCGCCATTTTGAATATTTCGAATAAAAATATGCGTGGCATATATATGAATTGACAGTCAATCATCGGAGATTTTACTCATCCTGTGCGAATAGACATTTTCCATTTGGGGTTGTTTAGTATGATTGTGAGTTTTTGTACTTAAGGTCAGTCGTGGAGGATTTCTGTTTCATCCCAGGCCTGGCTCGTTGAGACAGTGAAGTAAGGATAACACGATGGGACAACTGATTTTAATATCGAAATGGAGTGGAGCGTGGTTAATCTCAATCTGAAGACATGTCAGAAAATCTTCGACGTATCTAATATGCAAATACGTCTTCTTTTAAAAACTTCCATAGGTTCGAGAAAAGGTAAATATTGTAACTTTAAATCTGAGTCGACAAGTATTTACTTAGTTTGGAAATAGTTAAATATTGGCCTTTCGTATTTTTGTCGGTAAATATTTGCTTGGTTTGGTGATAGGCAAATATTGGTCGTTTATTTTTGAGTCAGTATATATTTATTTGGATTAAAAATAGATAAATATTGATCATTTTGAGTTCAGTCTATATGCATGTACTTGATTGTGGTATAGGTAGATTTTGGTTGTTTATATTTCAATCTCTAAAAAACTTACTATGTTCAAAGATAAGAATATCGATCATATATATTTGTGCTTATTATTTGCACTTATCAGGAACAGGTAAATGCTTGTCGCTCATGTTTGTGATCAGATATTAGAAAATATTGTCCGTTAAGACTTTTACTCTATAGATAATAGCATGGTTCGGGTATAGGTAAATATTGATAGTTTAGACTTACTCTTATATTGGTTGTTTAGTTTTTAGTCTATGGGGAATTACTTGCTTTTGGAATACTTAAATGTTGGTCAGTTATATTTGAGTCTGTATGGAATTACTTTGAGAATAGGCAAATATTGGTCGTTTAGAGTTGAGAATTACTTGGTTCGGGAAAAGACAAAATTTTGTCATTCAGACTTGAATCAAGAGAGAATTATTTGGTTCAGGAATAGGCAAAACTTTGTCGTTCAGATTTGAGTCTAGAGAGAATTACTAAGTTCGGAAATAGTCAAATATTCGTCGTTCAGATTTTAATCTATAGAGAATTACTTGGTTCTGGAAGAGGTAAAGATTGGCAGTTCAAATTTGACCCTATACAGAAATATTTGTTAGGAATATGTATTTTTTCCGATTTGAGTTTACAGTGAATGGTTATTGATTTGGGAATAGGTAAATATTAGTCTTCTAGTGTTTATAGGAAATTACTTGATTCGGGAATAGGTAAATATAGGCTATTTATATTAGCATCTGTTAGTTGTTATATGTTTCGTAGTTAAATATTTGTAATATATATTTGAGTTCATCTGCATTTACTTGATTTGCGGATCAATAAACATTGACCGTTAATCAATTAATTGGTTCACTGATATATAATTATTTATACATATTTGAGCCTGAAATTTGCTTGATTCACATATAGGTTAATCTTGGTCGCTTATATATTGAGTCTCGAACCATTATAATTTCGATGTACTACGTTGTGTTTGATGCGGGCTTTCCCCTACTCCAAGGGTTAAAATCTGCGTATTTTACAGGCCGCTCAGCAATAGGACCAGATTTTGAAGGGTATAGATTCATGTGTGTGATTATCCTGCAATAGACTAAGTTGATATTGAAATCTTTGTTATATGCCGTGTCCCCTCGTGACGTAAGCGATAATGACTTCTTGTCCTTTGTAGCTTTAAATTTTTTTTTGTTTGTTATCTCTCCTAAACCTTGTTCCGTCATCCATCTACTGCAGCTCACTCAGTTTACTATGTGTTGTTAACCTCTGTCCCTCTTGCTAGCAATATGTCCTTTGAGTATCAAATTTTCCAACCCTTCTTTCCTCATTATGTGCCCTAGAAATTCCAACTCCCTCATTCTGATAAGTTTCTTTTTCTTTCGATTTTCTCTAAAACTTCGTGGTTGCTCCCATATCCGCTCAATTCTCATCAGCCTTCTGTAGAAACATATTTCAGTTACTACATGTCTCTTCTGCATCTTTGAGGAGATTGTCGATCATTCACTGTCATAGAGGAACACTGATATCACGTAACAGTTAAGTACACTTTCCTTTATTAGTAATGATTTTCCTGTTTCTTAGAACGACTATAATCCGTTTGTATGATATGAATGGATCATTTACGAACCAAAGTTGTTGTTTTTTTGTAATTTCCGGTTGGTGGGAGTGAGCTTCTGATGTTGATTTTTCTTAATTCTTTTTTTTACATTTTTCTAAATATTATTATTATTATTGTTATTATTATTATTATTATTATTTCCTTTGATTTTTGGTATGTACTCATTTCTTTCTGGATCCCGACCAGAGACCTAAGCTCAGAAATGGCATAATGACATTTTCCACTGAGCAATTTAAAAAAAAAAAACAACACATATATTTTACATAGATAAATCCATTCGTAAGGCTGTACTCGTGTTGCCTGTACTCGTGAGAACAATTTTTTTCTTTAAGGCATGGGCTTCCAGGAATCCCTTCAGTTAGTCTATTGGAAACTTTTCCACTCAATCCGAGGGCACCAACTACGACAGGGATTTTTGATGTTCTCGTGTACCACAGATTTCAGGATCCTTGTTTTTTCATAGCTTTTTGAATATCTTCAAAGATATATTGCAGTCTGCAGGAATTGCCATATCAATAAGGAGGCATTTTTGTTTGTGGTCTCTAATAACAATGTCTGACCAATTAGTATTAATTGTTCTATCTGTGTGTGTTGTGTAAAATTGTTACAGTTTCTTTCTCTGTAACCGGGTCTGGATGGTGTTCATACCAATTTCTTTCCGTTTCCTTTCCGGAGAAGGTTTAGATTTTCCAATGCATATATTGGCCCACTCTTCTTCTTCTTCTTCTTCTTCTTCTTATTATTATTATTATTATTATTATTATTATTATCAGATTTTCTTTACTTTTAGGAATTTGTAATTTTTTTAGACATTCACTTTGGGTAATTCCTCTTCAAAATTTGTAATCTTTCCCACGTCTTGGAGTTTTGCATTTTTCATCACATTCCTTCCTTTACCGTTTTTTCCAAAAAAAAAAAACCTTCTCTTACGTATAATAGCATTTTCCTAGGTAAAGTTCTTAAAGGCAAATCCAGAAACTAAATTCAAATCTAGGCACATGGTCATACAGCCTGAAAGTAACAAGTGATGTTACTGCCTGACGCCCTCGTTACTCGTAGAAAACAGACTTGGTAAGGAAAGTGAGAGAAAAGCAAAACATGCGAGACAGGATACAGCTAGTAAATAAGACCGAGCTATTGAGTGTCACCAGCACAGAATGCAATTTTGTAACAAACAAATAATAAGAAAGAAATGTAAGAACATTTTTGCTCTATAAAATGTCTGTACTTAAAATCTAGAATTGTATGAATTTATTTTCAGGACGATTATATATATATATATATATATATATATATATATATATATATATATATATATATATATATATTTTGAAAATAAGAAAATAAAAAATTAAAAATTAAAATCATTAGACACACTGGGTTGTAGATTAATATTCTTTCGTTTTTTTATTATTATTATTCCATTTAGATTCCTCGACTAGTTTTTGACCGAAATGGCCATCATCGGGAGGAGAAATATTTCTGCTTGCTGTTGGCAGTGAACTACAGAAATGAATGTCTTTTGTTGGAGAAAATGAACTTTTGTCTGTAGTTTTCATTTTTTTTTTTTTTTTTTATCTTTTTAACATGAATCTTTTAACATTCCTTGTGTTGGTCAAACAGTCTCTTTTAAGTTGTTATTTGAGATAAGAACTGGATAGATACATTTTATCCTGAATTCTCTGGTCAGTTTGACAGTTTTATTGGACCTGGTGAGGGATGTGTCTCTGTTTAGTGTTTGTGTGTGTGTTATTTGGTTCTTAGGGAGTGAGTGAGTATGATATGTGTAAGCGTGTGTATTGCTGTAGGTGTGTGTTATCATTTGGCTCATTAGGGGGAGTGAGTGAGTATGATGTGTGTACGTGTGTATAATCGTGTGGGTGAGTGTATAAGTGTGTGAGGCCTCCATTCCTCCGTAAGCATGTCTGTCTTTGTGGGTGAGAAATGTGGGTAGGTTTTGATTTGTTGATTATTACTATTATATATTGTTAAATTTATGATTTAGCCCGGCTGGGTATTGTGTTTTTAGACGTTGTATCCATATATATATTTATATATATATATATTGGTTGTGAAGGCTGCTTGTTGGGAGATTTCAAAACGACTTTTTACTATAGTGACGAATCGATAATAAAAAAAAAAATGGCGAGCCTCGAGACCAGTGTCTTAAGAGCGGAAGAAAGCGGAAGAAAGGAGCTTGCTACTAATCTTTATATGCTCCTTCGAGCGATTATCATTGATTCTGCGTTGGTGGGGGTGAACTTCTGGTGTTGATCTTTCTTAATTTTTTCGATATATTATTATTATTATTATTATTATTATTATTATTATTTCCTTTGATTTTTTTTTTTTGGTCATGGGAATGAGCGTGACATGCATATTTAAATTTTCGCTAAATTCCAAACTCCTATTTTTTTTTCATTCATTTTGTAATCCCATGTGCTTCTTTATCGCTAATCATCACTTTCCAAATTGGGCGGCATTCAAAAGCCTTTCTGCCCTTATGTAGCCGAAGAATTATTTTCCACCGTAAAAACACTCAACAGACGTACTCTTATGATTTTTGGCGACTCTTTCAGTATTTCCTATGAAAGACGTTCTGGATAACCACATTA